CTCCTTCTCCTTCTCCTTCTCCTTCTCCTTCTCCTTCTCCTTCTCCTTCTCCTTCTCCTTCTCCTTCTCCTTCCCCTTCCATGTCTTTTCAAACAAGCAAAAACAGGCAAATTACAATAATTTCTTATTAATACGTAATCTGAGTATCTTATAAATGAAAGTCCAACATGAGGAAATTTTACTGTTAAAATTTCACAAATCTGTCAAAAGTGTATTTTGAGCAGGGAATTCATAATTGCCACAGTTATTGCTAACTTCTTCATATATTAAAAACTCAGCTGAAAGCCTTAAATCTGTAGAGAGTATCACTGAAGTGCTAACTCCATCTGTTATTCCAATCACCCTCTCATGTAAGCATTTTACCATCACTGTTTTTGACAGAACCTACTTCCAACTTTGAGATTTCCAAAAAAAGCTTAGGACTCTGATTTCTTGTTTAATGATTTCCTATAATAAATTTATCAATCAACATTTCTTTGCATTTTTTTTTACTCTCAACATCTCATTTAACTTTCTGTTAAAAAATCTTAGAGGAGAAATACGTAGCTATGGTGTAGTCTGATGAGAAGTCCTTTAGATTGTTACAGATTTTTAGCAATGCTTAAAAGTTGAGTAATCAAACTCAGTTCTAAGTTATTATTGTATTCAAAAGAGACTTTAGTCTATAAGGATTTAAAGGTCTTTTCTGGAATAATTTTAAAACATAATACTTTAAAGTGAAACTACGGTACCATACTGGGGCTGGGTTATTTGAGGGATGGCCTTTCCCCAGTGATACCCACCTGTCCCAGCAGGTCCAGCAGAAGAGGCTTGTTTGTTTATTTTTTTATTTAGCATATTTATATAGCCGCCCATCTCACAAACATGCGACTCTGGGTGGGATACAACACAACAAGTTAAAAACTCCATAACAGCCTAAAAACAATAAAAAAGAAATAAAAGTAAACGTATAAAGTAAACATATAAAATAAAGAAAACAAAGAAAGCGGAAGAACAAACATCACTTAATCTCATACAGCCACCTTGCAGGCTCTCCCCTGGGATCCTCAAGGCTGGTAAAAAAACATGTTTTTTAATAAGGGCTTTTGAGAAGGCTAACAGAGATGGGCTTAACCTCATCTCGGGGGGGAATGATGTTCCAGAGGGCAGGGCCCACAGCAGAAAAGGTATGCCACCTGGAGACCTGCCAGATGGAGGTCCTTTGGGGACAAGACCCGCAGAATATCCCTCCTACCTGACCTGGTGGGACAGGTAGATGTAATTGGGAAGAAGCGATCCCTCAAATAACCTGGTCCTATGCCATGTAGGGCTTTAAAGGTCAAAACCAGCACCTCGAATTGCACCCGGAAGCAAACTGGCAACCAATACAGCTCATGAAACAGAAGATAATAGCCAGCTTGAGATGTTTCCAAACAGACAGTCACTGTTATCACAATTTCCTGGAAAGTATAGCAGGATCTGTGAATAATGACTAGGAATGGTCAAGGATGATTGTTTGTCTGTTTCTTCCACTTGACTCTTTCCAACTTTTCGACAGAAAGAAAAAATCTTCTTTTGGACTATCCTTTCCCATCAATAATATCTTTTCTCATAATCAATCCAGGGAGAAAATAATGGGTAATAAATGGGGTATACTTCCCCTGAATGTTGTGTTTCACATTTGCTTAAAGTTACAGTGAGTGATACATATCCTACCTATACTAATCATCTTATGTCTCAAAATGCAGAAATATGGCATAGCACATTTGGGTTTTTTTGTTCTGTTGTTTTGTTTTATGTTTTATTGATTTGTTCTATTGTTTTGTTCAACTGATTTTCCATAATATAAATATATAAATCCATCTTTAACTGAATAACTATTGTATGTAGCTACTGATGCAACAAAGTGTTATTGATTCAATCAGACTAATAATATGTGTTAGAGAGCCAGTTTGGTGTAGTGATTAAGGCATCAGGCTAGAAACCAGGAGACCATGAGTTCTAGTCCTACTTTAGGCACAAAGCCAGCTGGGTAACCTTGGCCCAGTCACTCTCTCTCAGCCCTAGGAAGCAGGCAATGGTAAACCACTCCCAAAAAACCTTGCGAAGAAAACTGCAGGGACTTGTCCAGGCAGTCATCAGGTGTCAACACTGACTTGAAGGATAGATAGATAGATAGATAGATAGATAGATAGATAGATAGATAGATAGATAGATAGATAGATAGATAGATAG